ACAAGCACCCACCCCTGGCTCCGCCTCAAAGGTTCAAAACCAATTCTAAATATAGACCCGACTTCATGTTTGCAGGGGCTGTAAATCAGGGAAAACAACTTTTTTTCCATCTCCAATAAAATATCTGCACCCAAAGCAAAATCAGCCAATTTCTGGCTTTCTACCAGTTTTGCTTGGGCATAAAATTTTCTGACACTTCACCAGAAATGTCAGCATTAGTATAAGGCAGCTTTAAAGAGGGAAATGGTTTTTTGACCTGCGGATAACCCCTTTCACCCTAACAGGAAAGCGGGGGAAAAAACCACACCTGAAACCCAGTTTTTCCAATTATTAGTATAAACAGGACAAATTATGTTTTTTAGTGGTCAAATCCTTCCTTATAGGAAATGTTAGTCTTTGAATTGGCAAGGGGAAGGGTCATATCTGTTTTCCTGCCATATCCCCAACACTGAGTACAGACCCTTCCACAAAGAAGGATTTCAATGAACAATATAGGAAGAAGGGGAAGAGGAAGAAGGAAACAGGAGGGTAGGGATGATGAGAATAGTTCAGACAGAGGTCTGTTCCCCTCTTTTGTGTGTGGGGAGTTATTTCGCTTGAACTTTCAAGCTGCAGCCTGACAGAAAAGCAATCATCTTTTCTTTGGGCTTCTTGTCTGATGCTAGGTTTTCTAGCCATTGCTGTCAATTCAAGCCTCCAGAAAGAGCCCACCAGCAACCTTCTCTGGGAACTGAGAATAAGGAAGAAATAAAAGGTAGAAAGTGAGAGGAAAAAGCTAGAAAAAGTTGTTTCGTTTATCAGTCATCTATTTATCAACATTCAAGCGCAAAACTGGCATCTTTAGAATAGGGCATGACATGCTGCACAGAGATCAGGCCAGCAGACTGAGGGATGGCGGAGAAGGAGAGATAACACCTGACCCTTGAGAGGCAGGATCTGTACAAGAAAAACCAGGGTAATAGAGAATCTCAGAATGAAGGCAAAGGTTGATTGCACAGCAGGCAGGATGGTTATTCCCCAAATGCTTCATGGAATATAGTCTATGAACCATATTTGTAAAATTGCAGGTTGAACAAAACAGCACAGATTCTTTATTGCAGGTCTTCTCAGAGCTTTTATTGTGTAATCACACCAGGAGTGGCATATGTAAAGCAGAAAGGTTGACTTTGGGGGAGCTCTCCCCCCCCCACACACACACACGTTTGTTTACTTACTAGCTATATTAACCTGAGCAAAATATCCAACTTTCATGAACTCCAGTTTCCTCTTGTCTAATAAAAACTCAGTTGTTATGAGAAGTGAATACTATGTAAAATGTGATCAGTTTAGCACTGGCACTTAGTTAATATACAATTTCCTCTTACGCTAAAAACATAACCAGAGATTATTCACAATGATTGCACATTATCATGTTCATTTGAGGCAACAGGTTAAATTATGTTGGAATGATCTGAACCTTGACTTAATTGCTATAGATCATCCAACTGGATCTGGTAAGTACATTTTACCACACTATATAAAATATATTATTGCTATAGATGCTGCTCCTGTTATTATTATTATCATCTTCATGTATCATGAATATAAAATGAAAATGTCATATGTAGCATTTTTTACATGATTATGGTTTGGTCAGTTTTTTATCAGCTATTTTTTGGAAATGCCAAGTCAGTGTGTAATACCCAGCCTCTCACATAGTAGGTACTTACTATGTATGTGTGGAGGAAATGGAGCAAACAATTGACCCTACCAAATTGCAGGACAGTAAGAGGATGCTCTGGACAAGGTGTTTTTCATTATTTCCTTGGGCAACGGGGCCTCTGAGGTCTGGGAGGAGTGACTTCATCTTTTCCTCAAAGAATGAGGGATTGAGAGCACAGTGTTCAACTTTGGGGAAACATCACAAAGAGTTTATTTTCGTAGAAGTGTTTGAAGTGACTCTAACAATGAGCTCACGCCTGCTGCCAGGCGCCAGCCATCAGTGTGAGCTTGCTTGCAGGGAAATGCATGAGGCCCATCACCAACCATCCCCTGGGCCCCCACCCATCAGACATGTGATGCACATGTGCGGGGTGGATCCCAGAGGATTTGCCCCAAACAGGGCTCCTTCCTCTCCAAGAAGGGACACTGAGGCCTGAACATGGAAATGGCTGACCCAAGATCCAGAGTAAACTGGAGGATGGGAGAGCCTGGGAGAGGCCCAAGCCTTCTGGTTTTGTTTGGTTGATTCTCTGGCAGGATTTTGAACTGAATCCCAGAGGATATTTGTTCTTTAAAAAAAAAAAAAAACAACCTCAATTCCTGCATTCATTTATGGAGATAACCTCATCTGTCATAAGTCACATGCTAATCTCACAAAGAGTTCCTAGAAGTGAGCAAGCTTCACATCAGCCCTCTCCCTGATTGCAATGCAGGGATCCTGTTAAACCTCTCCAGCTTCTCACTGTTCTGTGTATAAAGAGATTCTTGACAGAAATGGAATTTACTGAAGTATAGACTTGAGCAGGTTTAGAATATGATATTTGCATTTTACCAAACCCAATACTTAATACCTGTCCACCTGAATTTAAGAAAGAGAGTACACACAGAGTTTGAAAAGGAAATGAGATAACCTAAGAAAGCTCTTGGAGTGAAGAACTTCCCATGGAACCCACAGCACATTAAAAAAAGCCCCAGAGTTTTCAAAGTTTAAAACCTCAGATTAGGAGGTGGAAACATGCAGGGCAGGTCACAAATTTCTACTGATGAGAAAGATCACACAATATTTTTCTATAATCCCTGATATTTTTATATACATATACACATATATATGTATGTATATGTATATATGTGTCTCAACTGTAAGGCATACAAAGAAAGCATATGGGCTAGAGATCCTGGATGCACTCAAGTCAGTTGTTACGTTTCACTTTAACTGGTAAAACTGGAAGTGCTTGGGGGGAAAAAAAATGTATAGTTAACTGTGGAAACTTGTCAAAGTTCAAGAAAGCTTCCAAAATTCTACAGACTTTTTGTTTCCAGCAGGACAGGGCTGCCCAATTCCTCTTACAATAAAAATATAACTAGAGATTATTCACAATGATTACATATTTTCTCTATTATGTTCATTTGAGGCAACAGGTTAAATTATGTTGGAATGATCTGAACCTTGACTTAACCCCTATAGATCATCCAGCTAGATCTGGCAAGTATATTTTACCAAACCCATTCAGCACACCCAGCCCTTTTACCCAGAGAACCATTGGTTACACAGAACCCCTACCAGCCTACCCCTGAACTGTACCTTCTGAAAGTCAGAACTTATGTTCATTCACCATAAAATAGGAGAAAACTAAGTACCACCAGCAAAGTTCCTGGTGCATAAGAAACACAGCAGAACATCAATAAAAAACTGAAGGACCAGGTAGGGGGCCTGAGGTATGAGATCAAAAGAGGTACCCGGTCTAAAGGATTTCAATATTGTGAGGTACAGGTTAGCAGCAGCAAAATGAAGGCAAAGGAGAAAGAAAAATAAATAAATAAAAAGCAAGGAGAAAGCTTAAAGCTTTACTAAATGAGTAGATCCAGAAGTTGAAGCAAAGGTTTGGATATCATGTGCCCAAGCCTCCTAACTACCTTCCATTATGATGTCTGGATTTCTGCACCAGATTCGGTCTGTTCCAGAAGACATTAGGTTTTTGGTGGGAGTAATTCTGTAGAGCTATGCTTCTAATCTCTAATTAAACCTTTGCTGGTGAACATTTGAGAGTAGAGTTTCCTTCTGTATGGTGGAGTTCAGGCAGTTCCTGTGGAGTATGCAACACAGTATGTAGAAACAGTGGAGAAAAAGTCAAGAACTGTGAGCCACCATGATTGGGAGCCTGTGATGGGACAAAATTGGTCTTTGAGCAGGAGTCCTTGTTTTGAAATTATTTGCTGCCGAAGTAAATGCTTAGGGGATAAGACAGAATAAAAGATACAGACCCTGCATCAAGAGGAGGAAAAAAATATACTGTACCTCTCAAAAAGAGCAACTTTTTCAGAGTAGTCAATAGACTACAAATTTAAGCTTTCTTTTTCCTATGATTCCTACACTCTTCCACTGAGCTACACCCCAAACCTAAGACTTTCTTTTTTTGAAGCCTATAAATAGCTCTAAATCATACAATGAACATCTATTAATAAACTCATTAATTGAATGATGAAGAAATCATTAACTATTATTGTGTGCTATCAGAAAATGAAGTCTTCCTGGAAATAAGGAAAAGGAAATTATTGCATTGAGCTTTTTATATTAGAGAAATCAAATCTGGGATGCATTTTCTAGCAAAACATCCATTTCGCTTCTTAATATCGGGGTACACACATCGTCAACAATGAATCTAGTTTGACATTTGGTTCCATATGCTATGTCCTAGGTAATTAAAGTATATCTTCTGGCTAATAAAAATGAAGTTAAAAAGTTAAAACCAAAACAACGACAGGAAATAACATGTGTGTACAATATGTTACTAACACACTGATAATTTTTTAAAGTGACTTTTAAAAAGTATTATAAATCTTTCAAATCAGTGATTTATTTAGCGAAAAGTCTGAATGGTTTGCACTATTAAATTTAGCTTTTAAGTTGCTGCATCATGGAGGGATCTTTTGTTCCCCCAGGTTAAATTTAGCATCTTGCATTTTGTTTTTCCACAGATTCACACTGTGTCGTCATGCAGATTTCCAAACTGTTCAGGAGGCATGCATTAGGGAATTATCACAATGGTTTTCTTATTTTATAATCCAGGAATCAAATTTATCAAATAATCCAACAGTGGTTTATTTCCTCCTTCTTCTTTGCTTTTCCCACCTATACAGCCTTCTCATAAAATAAACCTTCCCGAGGCATGGGATGGAAATGGGAAAAAAATGTGGTGGCCAGAGGAAAACCATTTCAGAAATGTGTTGTTAAACAAGTGCAAGCAATAAATTGAGCTTAGGAGGGAAAGGCGGTTAGGAGAAAAACTGAAAGTACTGACCTGAAAGTCAAGCTGATTGGAGCAAGGGTGAAAGCAGCAATTTGGAGGATAAGCAGAAAGGAAAAGGGATAGCAAAAGAGAATAAAAGGAAGGAAACATATTAGTTTTAAACATACAGCCAACAGATGTCATATTAGCAGGTTTTATAACCAAACAAAGGACAATAAAGCAACTTTTATTGGATATCACCCCCCAGAAGCCCTGGGCACAAACTGTAAGCTCTTCTATTAACTATCATACTTAACAAACTGGTACCTGCTCTTCTAAGTACAATAATAGCAAGCACTGATACCAACCAGAGGTGGTATCAGCATACTTTCTGAAGGGCTAGAGAAAGTTCCTATCTGTGTGAATATAAACTTTTATTATTTAATAAACAGAAATGGTTAATTACTAAGGTGTTAGAACTGGTGGTAAGTAAGCACTAAACTGAGAGGAATTTTTATTTGAACCAGTACGTTGAATGGTTATATACTATGAGATATTTTTCCTTCATCTCTGAAAAACCAAAAGGAGCTGAGCAGTTAGGCTTTTAGTTCAAAGATTTCCTGCCTAGATGTTCACAGAGTATTCTACCTAACAATGATCAAAGGCTTTGGGAGGAGGCCTGCTGGTGGGGTACCACCTGCCCGTCAGCCTAAGTTCCAAACTAAGAATAATATTTCTCAGTTGTGAAATGGGGTTCTGACTTCATCACTGAGAATATCCAGATGCTTAATTTATATGCACAAAAATGTCTAATATGTCCCTCTAATCAATCAAAACAGTAGTCTCTAATGACAAACAAAAATTAAAAGAAAAATGTCACGATCATCTTCCAGGCTCCCTCAGGAACATAGTGAATATTTCTCGTTAATCTATAATATACCCTTTGCCAAAACACAGTGGATAAACACTTTCCTACTATCTGCTCAGTGGAACCTCACCATTCCACACTGTTTATAAGTAATTTTAAGCATTTCACGTAGGAAGGAAAAACAAGGGCTGGGGATTTGGCTCATGCGGTAGCGCGCTCGCCTGGCATGCGTGCGGCCCGGGTTCGATCCTCAGCACCACATACCAACAAAGATGTTGTGTCCGCCGAGAACTAAAAAAAATATTAAAAATTCTCTCTCTGTCTCTCTCTCTCTCCCCTCTCTCTTTAAAAAAAAAAAAGAAAAACAATAAATCTTTAGGATAAAGCCTATGCTAGAACATTTCAAGTGAAAACAGTATTTGACTAGAATGATAAAAATCAAAGCTAAAATTCAATATTAAACACATGTGAAAGTGATGATTTGATAATCCCTCATATCTGAGATCTCTCTACAAAGTGTTTTGTGATCATAAATGTACAGTTGATCAAAAATGAGTTAGGTCATGGTGAAGACTTCAGCAATACTGGGCCCAGCTGTCATTTCAAATCTTTCAGATCAGAGGTAATTAGGCTAAGGTCCATGGCCAATTTAGGGAATCCTAAACTAAAATATCAAGCACACATTTAAGAGTTAGCTGCCTTTGCCAAAGATTCCTAGTTTTCATCAAATTCTCAAAAGCATCCATGACATTCATGTTCCTCCCCAAAAGGTCGTCAGAGATAGTATACAGCCATCTGCCACTTGATTTAAAGAAATTCCTTCAAATACATTAATGAGTATAAGTAGAAATTACTCAGCAAGAAGAGTGTATATCAAAACAAAAAGAACTCTATCAAGTTTCTTCCATGTACTATGGAACTTTCAGAACACATTATCATACTTTAGAAATAATAACAAAGTTTATGTTTTGAAAAGAGTTCTAAAAGGCATCAAGGAAATTATGTCAGCACATTATTGAGCAAATCAGAAGGAAAAATAATAGTTTCTCTTTCAACCTTAGATAAGGTTCTGTTAGGCACCTAAAATCATTTATCAATGTCCAAATGTCTGGCGGCATTAGTACTCCATCCAGATAATTAAGTGGTACCCTGTTTTCCAGTCTGATGGTATGTCTTAGGAGAAGAAGCCCTTGGGACCCTGTCACTGCAGGGAGGAATGTGACAGAGGACTCAATTGGGGCATTCCCCATCTTGTAGTCAAACACAGACAAAATCCCCTAACAGATTTAAGATAATTACATGAAAAGTAACCTGACTGATCCTTTCCCATGGGTGGGATGCAAGAAATCCAGTGGCAGTAGGTCTTCTTTGACAGACTCTATTAACTTCTTTCTTTCCCCTAAGGCACCACAGGATTAATTCTGAAACTTTAAATAGAACTCAGAGACCTTGATGGGCACTGATACAGAAGCGCCACATATTTCAGTGTCTCTAAGGTTTAATTAGCTACATGGTTATGATTCTGGCATTGGTGATGAAACAAAACATCAGACTGCTTTTGAACAACTCTCAGGGATATACTCAAGGTCCTCCACCTTCACAGCCTCTAGTCAAAGGCAGAAGCTTCCCAACTGGGCTGTCAGAATCAAGTGCAAGAGTTTACAGGCAGAAGTGCATATAGGGACCACACTAGAGCAGTGTGCACCTTAAAAAGAAGATCTTTAATGATTGATAAAAAATATCATTTGAACAGAATTTAAGAGGTAAATGCCAGCCATCTGCTTTTAGGAACATGTCCATTGTGAGATGATTAGCAGAATAAAAACAAACAAACTGTCCTCAGAGAGAAGCAGGCCAGTATTATTTGAGTTATTCCTAATCCTGTACCTCTTATTGTATGTGACTGAAGTTTTGTCATATTTTAGAATACAAGTTGCTTTTTAAAAGGCCCTTTCACTCTGGTAGGTCACATTATAAGCCAGAGACCAAAAATTTATTTCAAGTTCAATATTTTGGTTTTCAAAATAACAAACTTAATTGTAAGCCCTTCTCTCAATGACTCCAAAATGGAGATCTATGTCATATTGCTAAGAAATCTTTAGTTCCCAACATTATGAGGTATGAATTTTGTACTTTAAGCCAGCAAATGTAGAAACAACTGCCTGACAACTCAAGGAAGATGTTTTAGTCAATACACATGTAGCCCAGCAGATCATGCTTCAGAAAGGCAGGCCAAAGCTTCGTCCTCCTTTTCCCAAGATGCTTCCCCTCTAGATCTCCACCCCCGCCTCCCTAGGGGCCTGTGCTGGAGCTGGGACTCAGACATTTCCCAGACTATGTTCTGATGCTGGACCCAAGACACGGGCAGGCAGAGACCTGGGACAGAGTCAAGTCCCACCACACGTTTTATGAATTACAGAGCCTGGGAGGCATCAGCTTTAAGGAGAGGCAAAGGCAGAGATAAAGAAAATGTGCAGAAAGTACATAAAGATAAATGCCTGTAAAATCACTGCCGCTTTAATGCATTCCATATTGAAGAAATAAAACTGTGAATATTCTTGATGATTTAATGGCAATAGTGTCTAGCTAAGACCTGTTTGCCCAAATAGACAATTAAGGTATTTATATGTAAATGTTTATAGTAGTTAAATCCTTATTTTCAACTACAGTACTGGGGAGCTGGCTTAATAAAGAAAAATGCCTTCTGAACATGGAGCACATCACTTTCCTTCATGAAAACTAATAAAGAAGAGGCAGATCTCTTGTGGTTGCCTTGCAGTACCTGCTCAGGAAGGGCTCTCAGTAGGTTGCTTGGCACTACTGGACTCGTTTCTCCATTTTGGCCCATTGGTGGAAGGGATTGTTCTCAGTATCTCCTCTGTTGTTCCTGGGTTCAAATCCCAATTTTGAACCTTACAAGTTCTGCAATCTTTAAGAAAGTTACTTAATCTGTATATGTCATAATTTCTCATCTGTAAAATGGAGATCGTGATAGTTTCTGTGTTATGGGTAAGATTAAATGTATACCATATTACAGCTTAAGTGCTTAGCAGACTATCTGGCTCACTAAGCATAAAATATACTGACTCTATCATTATGATTATAATTGCTTTTTTAAATACTATTGGTATTATTATCTAGGATATCTGCCATAGGGCTCACTGCTTCTCAGAGCAATGGATGAGAAGTCAGTCCAGAAACATAATGTTATAACTATAATGTTATAGTTTCTCATCTTTCTGACCATGGGACCAATCTCCAGAAGGTCACTCAACTTTTTGAGGTCTTCGTTTTCTCACCAATAAAAAAGACACAGACATAACTTCCCTGTGATCTCATGGTAGCTGTTTTAGAAAAACTGTGGCCCTGAAATATAATTTCAAAATAGTCATGTAGATAGATATATCTAAAATCAACAGTGTCCTCAGCTTTTTAAGAATCAGTAGACTGGTAGAACATTCCCACATTTTTAAATTAAAACAGAATCCTTAAGAACTTTATTTGTATGGTGGCCTCAGGATGAAAGAGGTTCTTGCCTTCCTTACTAAGACTGGTCACACTGAACCAAAGTTACCTGATCATCATTAAACTTAGGCTAAGGGTATTGAAAGAAATTATTAAATAATTTAATATTTGAAAAAGTTGTTGAAATTTTATTGCAAATAGCCTATACATTAAGTATAGAGCCACTTAATACTAAATATTTTTTAGCATTCAACTGTTAATAATAATGATATAAACATCATTTCATCCTCTTACATGGGGACTAGGTGCTTGCAAAGCATAACACATCTTAAAAGGCTATTAGAGATTCATTTCCAAAAAGATTCAAGGCCACACAGCTAGCATAAAGCCAACACAAAATATGAACCCTGGTCTTTCTTTTGCTAAAGTCCATCATCTTTCTGCAAGGCCACAAAGAGTTATTTTGCATATATCTTGAAGTCCTTTAGGGCCTCTCACAAGTGTCTTGATCAGACCTGGCAAACATTCACTGATTTATTCAAACTTTGTTGATCTCTTCCATATGGACTGAATCTAAGAAAGACAAATTCTGCCTTACTACTGAACCAATGAAAAATCCTTAGAGGTTATGGAATTACATAAGATTATTCAGAAAGTTCTTCCCATATATGAAATATAGGAAAAAGCATTGATAGGAAGCTTATTTTTAGAGATCCCACTACACATGAATGTAATATGGATATGATTTATCTGAAAATCTAAATACTCTGGAACCCTGATACAACCCTCCTTGTGTTCAGACAAAATTTGCTATCATGTAGGCCCTATTCAAGCACATTTATTTTCCAAGTGCTATAAGATCTTCTCAAAAGATAAATCTCAAGGATGAAATTGTTGTAATGTGCCAAAAGACATCCAAAAGATATCAGCTCGCTTCGCTTCCTCCTATCTTGAGTGAAGGATTCCCAACTGTATTCTTCCATATTCTTTTGCTCAAGACAAACCATACACCACAAATGTTCATCTTTAATGGGAAAGAACAGAGGTTTCAGGTAGTCAAATTTTTATGTACACTGCTGGCACAAATGCTAGAACAGATAAACATCACTCAAGAAAGGCAATCACTATTTCTTTAAACACTGAAGAAGTACATAATCCTTCAAAAGATAAGCCAATTACTTTCTTGGTATCCCATAGAAACAACATCATCTCTTATCATGCCATATTCCTCGTATATAACATGTTTCCAACTTGTAATCCGAGCGTGCAAATGTGCATTCTAAATCTAACCACAACCTGAAATGGACAACCAAGTCGTCAGTGCTCACTCAGCACTGACAGTTCACGTGTCTGTAAAACTTACCTCTCAAGTTCTGCGATCTTCTTGTCCTTGTCATTCTTTTCATTTTCCACCTCTTTGAGGATCTCCAGCAACCGGTCCACTTCGGCTTGGGCCTTGCCACACTCATCACGGTAGTAAGATGCCTCTTTATCAAGCTGTTTTAGTCGGTCTGCAAACTCAGGGTTCATCCTGGAGTCATCTTCAATATTATGTGCCTTCAACATTACATTTTTAAAGAATGTAGTTAAGACAACAATTTGTAACAGTAGATATTGTAGCCACCAATGGCCCAGAAATTAACTTTAGAGACAAAATAACCAACAAGAGTTATGGGTACTCTGTCAGTGAGAAGGCAAAATGAGAATATCACACATTTCCAGTTACCTTAGAAAATGTTGATTTAAAATTATGTTAGTTTCTTATATGGAATTCCTTTCTTTATTGATATTTTGGTCCATTAAAAGGTGCTACTTTGGGCTTTTCTTTCCACTAAAAGTGGGGCATAGGTGGGTTTAGAGACTCTGGTGTCTTCATTACTGCTCATTTGGCAAGCAGAACCAAGACAATTCAATTTCTCACATTTCCAAAGCAGAGAACTTAAGCAGCACATATTACACATATTGAGTTGTTTTCTAAGATCCATCAAGGGCCTATGTAGAGCCAGGTAACATAGAAGAGACTGGCTGAATGATCTTTGAGCACATCGCCCTACTGAGAAATTTCAGCAGAAGATGTAGTTTGGAAGGAAGACTCGGATGTGAGGGAAGGGCTTTCCAGCCAACAGTCATACCCATAAATTCTTGTTCCTTGAATAAACTTAACCTAAACATGAGGAAGATGAGAGCTAATTCATGAACAAGCACACAGACAAGAATCTGCAAACACATGCATGGGTGGGTGGTAGCTTTACACATAAGAACACACACGGGCAACAACAGAGCAACAACACTGCAGAATAATTTGCAGCCAAAGTATTTGTGGTCTTCTGTGTGTGAATGCATTGTGGCTTTTTTTTTCCCAAAATAAACTTTTGGCTGAAATATTCCCAGACAGATGGAAATAACACTGCACTGCAATGTTTTGCCTACCCCTTGTTTCCCATTATTCCTAATTGACTTCTTCAAAGAGCAGGCAGGAAAAAAACAAGTAGTTTAACAACAGTGCACATTCAACATAGAAAGTTCAGAGGAGTCATATCTGTATGGATCTCCAAAATCCACATATGAAGCAATAAAATATTAATTTATTAAGATTTCAGTTGTTCTGCTGTTTTGCTACGTAGAGCAGATGTTCATTGGACTTTACTGCACGTTTTCTTTTGTTTAATTTCAGGGAAAAAACAAGGCAAGCAAGCTACAGCTATTGTGGGGTCCAATGAATCATGCATGTTAGAAAAATTAATACTAATACTACTGTTAGAGGTTTGACAGTCTTTGCAATGATTTAGTAGAAAAAATTCAAAAATTAGTATAAATAAAATAAATTTCATACTTATGACAAAATAATCATTTTAAAATAATAATTTTGCATGTAACATATTATTTAAGCATGAGGATAAAAGGGGAATAATTTGCTTTCATGTTCTTTCATCTAAGATTTCCTTATTTAAGAAATAACCTCAACTTCAAAGAACTTGGGAAAAAATATCAATTCAACATACTATCAGGTACCAATTAACTCCTTTTTACCAACATATCTCCGAAGATATTTATTTTTATTTAGTACTCACTCAGGATTTCATTATAGTAGATTATTAAACTTTTTCATTATAATTAAAATAGTCTGAAAGAAAAATCTGAGCTAATAGACCTTCAGGATTTTATTCATCAAATAATTTTATTTTAAATTGAAGTAATAGATATTCAAATTCCCTAATCTCCATTTTTAAAATGTAGATATTCTGTTTTTAAAATAAAGTAACTACTCCACACACCTACTTCTATTTGTGAAAAATAAAAATCAACTCATTAATTCTGTGACAGAAAAACATTAAAAATATGCAGTTTTTAAAAAACTAAGAAGTAAAATCTTCACATTAGCCTCTTTCATTTTTATCCTGTTACCATTATTCTATAGCAGCTAAAAACCTTCTCCTGAGATTTCTTAAACTATCCAAACCAAGGACATTGAGATCTTTAAAAAGCATTTATTAATTAATGAGCAAGTAGAAGCATTCAAAACAAATGAATAAACATATTTTGATTGCCTGTTTCTGTCTAGAGTCAAAATTTCTTTCCCAATTCTGATTTTTAAAGATTCACAATGAGCTAGCAGTTAACAACTGTGGTTTATCTGGGTTGTCTTTATTCTTTGATTATCATCATTAATTGGAATAAGTGGGTACAGGATTACTAGTTGAGACCTAGATTCTAAATCTAACACTGTGTCTAATGTCTATGGCAAATAAATTAACCTTTCTAAAGACAGTAAAAACTACATAATAAGGAACATGGGGAAGGTATTATTCATTTGCATTTTTATCATTATTATAATATGCATCCCAGAAGCAGCTAAGTGAATAGGTTTATTGAATTTTCATCACCAAAATACTATGGGCTTCTTTAAAAAGCTTCCCTGGTAGGTTTTCAAAGAAAGCACAGCCTGCCAGCTGCTAGTGTAGGTATGTAAGCACAAGTCTTTTTCTTAAATCCTTGAGGAGGATACCCCCATGCCAGTTTTCAACCCTGAGTGGAATTAGATGGGTTCACAGTCTTTTCAACTCCGTAAGTAGGTATGGTTAAAGGACTCATGGGATGTTGAGAGATACAGAAAGCTGGGGTGGAGTGGGGGTATACTAGACTATAGCTCTCCTGACCTCATGTGATGTTGAATTAAGTCATATTATTAAAATAAAGCCCATAGCTAAGTTTATAGCTGGCTTAGTATTTGTTAGATAATACTTGCATGTGCTAATGATTCATCCTTTTAAAAAGAATAGACAAGCCTCAATAATATCTGTGAGTTAAATATCTCTTTCTGTTTCTACTGTCAGGTTAATATCTACTGACTCAAGGAAAAAAAATTAAGTCAAATTACCTTCAATCTTGATGCTAGAATTCTTAGAAGGACTTTTAGATAAATGTGTAAATAGATAACTTTGAAACGTGATTATGTTAAAAGATAAAAGACAGGTTTTAAAAGAGCTATATAAAGATGTGAGAATAAGAGCTGCTTCTTGAGTCACACGAAAACAATGACAGAGCTTCCCTTGATTGGGAAGGCTGGTGGAGTCCCTGGTCATCCTAAATATTGGACGCAGATGTCTCCAAAGAATTTATAACTGTTAGTAAAGATAATCAGCTCTATTCAATGTAAATCACAAATTTTCAAAGGATAGGCTGAAAGTTTTAACATGGGTGTGTTATACTCAGATCCACAGACACAGGGGTGACACTATACTGAAAAATAAATAAAGGAAGAAACTGAGTTTATAAAACCAATGCTATCTTCAAAATTCTAAGGCCAGAACAAGCTCTCAAAATGGAAGGAAGCACTTTATTTATATTTAGGAAATATTCTTTTCAAATGATGAGTTCTTTAATCTGTACTGGCTGACCCTGATACGGATCAAAGTAGGTAGCAGATTTACCCTAACATACCCTAGATACTGTGTCAGGTGTTGGGGAAGAGACTTATGAATTATTTCAATAAATCATTTCCACAAGAAATTCCTACCATGGCCTGATTCTGACCTATGCAAGATTTAAATTGAAAATGTCCAGTAATTATTTCCTCTTAGGGATCTGTTGGTTTGAATTTAGCTCCCCCACATGGGAAGTGCTTGCCTGTTCCATTATTCTAAGGCACATCAACTTTGTTCCCTCTTGATAATCCATATTGATGTGTATTTTCTGCCTCAAAATATTTCTTAAAACTTATAGAATAACACTTAAACGTTTTTTTAGAAACACACAGATAATTGGGAACTGGCATTACAGAAATTTCTATATTGTATATTAGATCAGTAAGATTTTGGGGACTCCATATTATGTCTCTTGTATTTCCATATGTGGGAAAACTTCCCCACAAATGGGAATAATCAAAACAAAATTTTTGCCTCACTGATATGGGCAAGTCTCAGCATTTTGATGTGAATTACTTTGAAAGCCTGGATCAAGAATAAAGAGGAATCTAGTCATGACTTGGGATGAATAGCATTACAATACCTAACAGTTATTTTAATTAAAGAAATTAGAACTGTTTCAGGAAAAATAAAAGAAGAAGAAAAAATTCAGATTAATACTCTATCTAAATCAAACTAAAGCAAAAAGCCGCTAAAGCCAAAGCTGGAGGCTGACAGGTATCCAAATCACACATCCCAACTTTATTTGAACTTAATCTTATAAAGGTTGATCACTGATTATTTTTAGTAAAATACTAGTTCATCATTCCAGATGCCTAGGAAGGAAAGCATTAACTTTGGTCCAAAAAACCTGCTGTGAAACAAGGCAGGGAATATTCAATTATAATATTATATAACACTCTCCCTTTGAAATGAGTCTTAACAATTTTAACAAAAAATAATTTCCCTCAAAATAAGCAAATGATTAGTCATGAACATAAAACACAAGCAGAATGTTAACTAATTAATCTGTTGATTTTTCATCCCTGCTGCTTCTGGGTTTTAGCAATAACTTGATAAATTCATGTACTATAAAAATATGATTCTCTACTCCCGGTGCTTTGCTGGTTTAGAGTCCTTTGACAGCGCTTTAACATTCCTTTCATATCTTAACAGCAGAACAGGGCATATAAACTATTTCAAACATTATACTCAATTTCAATCTTCTAAAAGAGTACCAATCTTCACTTAATTCTAAGTTATGAACAAAATATTAACTTTTTAAAATAAAGTTTCTAAGGGGGAGATAGAACTAAAACATGTTATGAAATTTAAATTTCATTTAAATACAATAAATCAATACTAGGCATAATAAATGAGCCTAAGTAATACATTTTGAAACTAATGATGAAATACATCGAAATCTTGTACTTCCTAGTTTTATGGGAAATCACTCTTTCACAATTCAAGCTAACTACATCCAGTATATTTACAATTTTTATGTTAAAACAACCATACCAAATAGAGATTTTTTTCATAGATGAAACAAATTATATATATATAACAAATACTCCAAATACTTTTTCTCATGTCAAACCCCCAAAATAAAAAGAACCCACTATATGCTTTACATACAATAAGACTCCCCAACCAAAATATAATTATTAACGTGGTTCCTGTTAACTTTGGAATTTCCTAAAATTAGCAATGTAAAAGAACCAAAGTTCTTTTTTGAAGTCCTATGTTTTAGAATATCCAGTGAGTGTTCTTATGTGTGCCTGTGTTCGCACATGCAGTATGTATTCACTGAGCTATCTCTTAAATAGCTATAATCTTCCATTATGTCAGGGGATATTAGTCTAAGAATAAATCAAATAGTTTTCAGAAATAAGCTAAAAATATCATAAAAAGAAAGCACTAAGCCTAAACAATCACTATGATAGCATTTGTAATTCAGCCCACTACGCTCCTGGGATCACATAGTCCTATGATGACACATAATTCAGGAAGACCTCACTGAACACTGACAAGACTTTTTTTCTTTCTCTGGAATGGAAAAATGCTTGATTTTTGTCTTGTAAAACATGATCCCTGCAAAAGATATGTTCAGAAGAGATGGGACTTCAAATAGCTAGTAATTAGGTGAGGGTCAAAGGGGAGGCTCCTGTATTGGGATCATCAGACCAATCTCAAGGGTACCCCTGGCAGTACCAAGCCCAGTATCATACAGTAACGAGGATATTATACAAGCACTAAGTTGAGGGGTCTAGAAACTCTAAAGATTTACTTAAAATTTTAGGAACAAATCCTGGATACCATCATTGAGCACAATACTAGGAGGGCTACAGCAAAGAAGGTATTTGAGCCTGATGAAAAAACCATATTATTTGTCTAGAATTAAGAACCAAGGGAAGAAAAAGGACTCAACTGAAGATACCCTGCACAGTGTTTCACAATGACAAGACAAAACTCCTCCAGGAGCAAAGATTAGTAGTTAAGCTACAGAAAGATTATCATTATAAGAAAGAGTCAGGATACAAAGGCAAAATTTTAGAAATGGCATCAGAGTATCACTCAGTACAATGGACTGACTGGAATAAAGAAAAAAAAAAGTAAAAGGTTTATTTCTATTCTATGGGGAAAAAATACATGTGGGAGGACTTCAAAGCTTAATCCTTGTTTACTCTGATTGAGTATAGATTGATAGACCTAGAGATGACTGTAAATTTACCTTATGTAGCAAAAACAATGAGTATAATTCACCAAAAATGTGAAGGATGGCCATGGTCAAAATAAACATACAAAATAAATAAAAGACATTTCCTTGATACCAATAACTGGTTAGAAAAATATAAGAAAGACAGCATTCAAATAGCAACTTAAAAATTATAAATGTAGAACTGCTTCAGACTATCTATAAAAACCCCCACAGTCCTATAATAGAAATATGTCAAAACTTTACTATAAAAAACCACTGAAATGAATAAAAATTGTATCAAGTTTATAAATGGAAAAAAACTGGAAATATATTGATCATTCTAAAATCACTGTTTAGAATGAATGTAATTTAGATTAAAGTAATCACCAGTTGTGCTATTAAATTGATAAAGTGACCCTGAAATTCACCTGGAAAGATAGAAAATTATAAGATAAGGACCTTAAAACAAACAAATGAAACTTAAAAAAAAGACAAAATGAAAAGCAAAAAGAATTTATTGAATGAATTATTTGATAAACAGTGATAGGATATTGGTCAATAATTTAGAAAAATATAGTTAGAACCTCACTTCTCATAATGAATCAAAATAAATTAATAAGGGGTAAAGGAGTTAAATTTATGTAAAACATAACAATGCAAAAAATTTAAATTCAGCTCACAAATAAAACTGGAAAATGACTTCAAAGAATAAAGGCAATGAGAATATCCTAACGAGAAACACAGGTTGAGAACCTAAAAATAGTTCTATGTGTTTTTAAAAAAGACATTTTTTAATTAAACAAAATTTCCACAAATCTGACAAAATTTCTATATAAGCCACAGCATACTCCATATAAACTGATGAATAAACCAGGATACTCAAAGGGAAATGCTTAAATGACTTAAACAATTTACAGAAAGGAGAATATTAAGAAAATATACTTAAAATCCTAATAATTAAAGACAGGAGAGTTAAAAAGAAAAAATTTCTACCTGAGCATTTTTCAAAGTTATGGAAAATGACAATTCTCAGTAGTGGCCAGGGTGTGACCAAAAGGCCACATTTAACCAGTGCTTAAAGAAGTGTGCCTTGGCAGAATTTCTCTGAGTTCCTGCAATACAGCAAGAACTATGGCAAGTTTTTTTAAATATTGGCCCAGAAATTTATTCTATGAGGAAAAAAAAGTGTGGAGAAATTAATAAAGTTTTTTTCAGAGCATTATTTATACTACTAGCAAACCAAAAAAGAAAAGAGGGAAGAATGACCAACATTAATATAAATAACATAGAACAGTAAACACCATTGAAAGGACATTTTGGAAGAATAGTTAATGGATATAAACAATTTCTAATGATATGCAGTTTTTTAAAAATAGGATATAAAAGGAATAATCACTTTAACACAACTTCATAAAAAGAAATAGAATATTAGGTAAGAAAAAGAAAGATAAAGGAGAAAGGAGAAGGAAGGCAAAAAGAGAAGTAAGAAGAAAGAAGCAAGCAAGAAAAGAAGAAGATAAAGAACAGAAGAGAACAGTAATAGCAAAAAAATGCCTGGGCAGGGAGCAACCCAAATGTTCCTAGTGATTATCTCTATGCACTGAGACATCCTGTTATTTTTTTTTTCTATATCCTTCTATACTTTACAAATTCTGTACTGTGGACATATATTATTTTTATTACTAGGGAAAACATAGTCATTTTTTAAAAGACTATTAAGGAGAGAAAATCCATCATGGTCTGTTCCTATCAGTCCAACAAAGAATTGGACCCTGAGAATATCTGTAGGCAAGGGGAGTTAAAATAATGAGGGTTGGCTATATTCCCAGGATGCCAAACCAATGGGCTAGCTTAATTAACTTGGGAAGGAAAGTCAGTCAATGATTTTTGAATTAGTCACTGAAAAGACTAAAAAGTTTGCTTCTGTATACTGAAGAAGATCACTGGGGCTGAAGTGAAGGAGAAGCTGATGATGTTTCTGATCAATATTTCTAAAAATTGCCTAAAAGTTAACTGAGTTGTGTCTTTGATCCTACCTATCCAGATAGGGATATGAACTCCTGCTATGGTTGTGGTAAATTTTCACTGCTGTAGAAACAAAGCCATCCCCATCTGTCCTTTGTACCTCCACAATTATGAAATACTTAGTTTTTTTTCCTGTCCCTAACGAGTAGGTATGAAATAATTTCAACAGGATTACTTCATACCCTTTTAAAATAATCTTTAAAAAAAAAGAAAAAAGAACATGCATTTTTCCCAGGGTGTATTTTCAAGCTTAAAGATATTCCAATCTTATTTGTCTTTCTTCACCTCTCTACTGTCTTCAGCCTGCTTATTAACACTTCCATTCAAGTGCTAAGGGAAAGGAAACCTGGATTGTTTTTGCTTACTCTGCTAAAATCCATGCTTGGGAAATAGTTAATAAAGATGCTCCTACAGGGCTTTAGGAATTCTGTTTGCAAAAATAAAATTGGTTGTAAAGAATGAAGGGTGGAGGATGAATCTAATTAAGTACACCCGAATATCTTGCACATCAAGCTAAATGTATCCTGGAGCATGCTTAACAAAAAGTCGTTAGCTAACTTTGTTTCCTTTATCTATCCTATTACTTTTTTCCCATGATGGAAATTTATAAATAGGAGATAATTAGAATGCATGATAGTTCAGATCATATTTGCCAAATGATAAATTCTAGCCACCTTTAGAAACATTTCTCTCAGTAAGCCAACTTGAGACAAAAAAGAAAAAAGAAAAAAAAACCTTCTTTTTAAAAAATAAAGAAACAAACTGCTTCACATAAATATACACATCATTAGGATAAAAAAATAGTGGTGGCATCTGGACCATGTTATAAATTTTTTTACTAGTTACCTGATTTTTGTACTCTGAGAAGCTATAAGGAGAACTGCTATTATCTGTTATTAGGATACTATATTATGGTTTCCCCAATCAAATGACATGTTTTTAAAACATGTCTTACAAAACCCACAATAATGTCATATATTTACTAATCTCAAAGAGATTTTTATTGTTAAATCTAAATTTAATGTCTATCTCATCAACACAACATACATTGAATTTTTGCTGTTTTACAAATGCTATTCCTTTTGACATAGATTAGTCTGTGTCCAAAGGATCTGAGGATGAATTTCATGAGTGTAAATCTTTAGCTGACTTCTGTTTTTCTACAGAAAAATAGATTTGAAATTAAGAAGAAGCTAGTATCAGAACTAGGAATATTTCCTTGAGTTCTTAATTTTTTTTTAATTTAAAAAGAAATGACAATGGCCTCTGCACAAGTCATTTCTTTTGATAGAAAGGAAATGAGAAGGGACTAATAAATATTTTTGAAGCCTCCCCAGTATGGCACTTTGTGACATGTGATCAGTGGATCCTCATGCTTTGATATGTTACAGCGGGAACTTTCAGAAATGACTTACTGGGTTGTACATCTGATTGAACAACTGCTCAGCTTGCTACATTGCAAAGTTGGGGAGGCATTGAAGCACAGACCGGGAAAGAAGGAAAGATCCAGAAAAACAACATTAGCTCAACAAATCCAGTGCATTCGCACAGACGAACTGGTCGTTAAAAAAGAAGAAATTTCAGTTTCTAAACATTCCACAGTGAAAGTGAGAGGCTCTAGGGAAATACAAATGTTGATTTTGGCTCCGATAAAAGAATAGCTGGAATAAGAAATTTAAGGTTTGTATTACTTTCCCTTTCTCAAGTTAAATAACCCATGAAATAAAGAAAGCTGTCCACTTTTGATGATACATGAAGTGCGGGCCTCCAGCAATGAATCAGAAGAAGTACTTTTGGCCAAGCCCATAATTTATTACCTGAACTTCAAAGATGGTAATAATAAAAGATTAATTAAATCTTATCATTGAATTTATAGCTCTTCTTTTATACCAACACAAGCTTGAATTTTCTATTCAGTCTAACTCCAGAAAAATACAGATTAGCAAATGGCAGGTTAGCAATAGCAAAATATCAGTAAACAAAACATTATCAGATTAACTTAAATGGAGAAAGAAAAAAAATTAAGTCAGTAAGATAACAAAAGAGACCTACAATACAGTATTATCCATTGCCCATTACCAGTTTCTATTGTTAGTTTAGAATTAAGAAATAATTACTTTTCAAAGATATCCTGTTATGTTCCAAGTGCTTTAGAACCTGTAATGGTCTCCTGTCAATTTTGTGCAGATTTAGGTTTCTGGATTTAAATGTACTGAATATTATTTTAAATAGCACCCTCCAGCGATATTTCTTAAATACCTGCACCAATAATTTGGGGCTAGACATCAAGATGTAGAAGGTGAAATATTATGGAAACTGTTACTTTGCTTTAAGCTGAGATATGCCTTTTTATGAGCCAGATTCCTGTTCCTTCAACTTGAATAAATAAATAATGATTTTATCATGGTTTTAGAAAACCCTCTCCTCAAGCATGACATTAATTAGAAAGTTACTGAGGAGCATAAATCATAACACTTTGAATAACTGTTGCTTCTGAACTGATCTAGTCATACAAATCAAATTACCTTCTACAACTTGAACCTCAAATACTCTTAAAAAAAACAAAATGATCCATGCATTAATAATCAGGTTCTTTTCTATATGTCGATGTCTATAACTGATGAATGCACTGAATTATAAAGCACACTCATAACTACTGGTTACTCATAATTTGGTTAGCATTTTTAATCAGTCTTACCAATATCAGTAAAGATTTCCTCACACATGAACATCTGACTGTGCCATGTTTAAGAGGTGGGATGGAATGTCTAAAGGGTAATTTCTTTTCTGCTATAACCATTTTTTCATCACTAAAGATTTGAAGATGTCTTAAATCTACACAGTATAATGAAGGGTTAAAAGTAATAATGTGTATGAATGTTCTGCCCACTGTTGTGTAAAAATTCAGCTTATCAAAGTTAAGCATTATTTGTAAGATAAAAATCAATTAAAATCTCTCTTTTGATTTCACTGTCTTTGGCCAACTAGGTGCCTGTTCAAATAAACACATCTATGATCTTGTATAGATTTTAAGGCAAAAAATACTGGATTCTCACAAATCTTGAGCAAAGTTCCACTGAGAATACATGGTGTATTTATGACATAATAAAACTATTATATTTTCAGCTTTCATTTAGTCAACCTTTATATTTTATTCACAAGTCACAAACCCTTTTACTTAAAAGGAGGCCCAGACACTCCTTAAGCTTTTATAGCTGCTTATTTTTCCATGAGTAAATGATGTGTTTATATGCATATTCACATACTGTTGGCTTATAATTTCAAATATTTCACGTAGATCTCAATTCTTTTTAAGGTGATGGGTACTTGAGGTTTTTATGGAACTATTTATTAGCAGAATTAAAGACTACTGAAAAAAACTATTTTAAACTTTTGAATGTAGTTAATGCTAAAGAGCCAAAAGCAACAAAACAACATCTACAGGTTAGGAATAAAAATATTTAAATTATCATTACCTTATTTAAACTCACTGTACTATGCACTTAGGAGACAGTATAAGCAAAGATTATGTAAATACTTAGAAATAAGTTATCCTTTCATAAATTAAATAGTTTCTTTATAGAAAGACACCATATTTGTCATTTCACTTCTGGTGATATTACAAAATGTTAAAATCTGTTAGGAATAATGATATAATATTTACAGGATTTGGTCTGTGAATTCCAGTAAATTTGTCTACCTGAGAGTACAAGGAAAACACTATGAGTGATCTCTCGGGCAAACCACAGCTATGCTGAAGAAACTATACTAAATTGCATAGATGTTGATTTATTAAACTAAGTCATGTACATGAAAACTATAAGCATCAATATGTGAACCTTCTTTTTAATTGCCAGGGAATTTCAAATTCCAGAGATGACTTACTAAAAAGTAAGATGACTTACTAAAAAGGAGGGTGCAGTGCATGAGGTCTACAGAAATCATAAACAGGGTGGCCTGACCTCCATAACAGCTCATCAGAGTTGATGGAGGGTGTCTTTCAGGATCATATATATTTGAGGTCCTATTTCATTCCACACTCACACACTACAAGTGAGGTAAGATCATGAAGACCATACCAAGAATCTGGTGAATTTCTGTCTCATAAAGTTATCTTGGCACCTACCTTATGGTCACAAAATTGTTTTATTAAGTAAAAATGATGTTTCATAGATATATATCCTAATATGCATATGCATGTATGCCATATTGAAGGGCACTTTTATAATGTGTCAATAATGTATATGATACTCCCAATGCATAAATAGCCAAATCAAACTGCACTTAAATGCCCTTGAATGGGTAATTTAATTCTCTTATTTACTGTTCAGGATTCCTGCTTAATATTGCTCGAAATCAGGTAAATGGTGAGTGCACTATGAAACATATTTTGTAATACAGAGATTTTTCTTGCCATTTCGTTATGAAGAAATTTAATTTGTATATTTATCTCTTTCTGTATTAGTAAATAGACTCAGTGTGAAATTTCTAATGACAATTTCCTAAAATGTTCTGTAAAGTGAGCATAACTTTAGTCACATTTCAGTTACACAGCACCATAAGAAATAGGATATTAAATTTTAAAATATTTGGAATGATTCTTCCATCAGTATGTGATTCCATCACATCCCTGTCCATCCATGTCATTTGTCTTCATAACTGTAGATTCTAGTGTGCTATGAATTACACCGTCCAACTTTTATTATATGCTTTATATGTTAATGTTTAAATTCTTATCTGTTTTGAATAAGTTTATAAGTTGTCAAAGGGAAACGAAATGCTTAAACTCATAACATTATGAGTTTGTATGTGAATGATGAGTGCAGACGTACCAAACAACACAGGGAAAAAGTCAAAGGAACCATGCATGACTGGAAATGCACTCCACAAGAATGTCCAGGTCAGAGAAAGCATGTGAATGCCACAATGGAAAGCCCCTGCTTTCCTTTCCACAGCCTTCTATACACAACAAGCTTTCTTAGACAGTAAGGTCATCTGGGGTCAAGGATAAACAGTCATTCTACAGATATGCTGGGACTTGACTATAGTGGTGAATTTCTAGAATTTAGTGTTGTTAGGGAAAATTTGCAAAGTTCTCATACAAAAATTAACCTACTTCTAAAAGTAGTTCTAGTTCATCGAAGTATAATGGGGCCCCTGGATTCCTTGGTTTGTTGAAAACATTTCCATTTATTTTTTATGATAGTTGAGATTTGCCCAGAGAATAATGGCTGGTTTTTATATTTTTCATTTCTTCTACTAATTTCATCTATTTTTCAAGTTTTCTTTAGGCTGGAAACTTAAGATAATTTTTTAGGTTCACAGACAGATTTAATGTAGACTTCTTAGGAATAAAGAGTAATACTTTTATCAGTAGACAGCAAAGATAAGGAATTTCTTTCTTTTGAAAAATGCCTTTTCCTTTCCCATTCAATAAATTCTTTTGAAAATGAGCGTGGTTTTTTTTCTTAGACCTCACTTACCTTTTTTAACTGGGCTTCCAGTTTGCTACATTCCTCTTTCTTTTGTTCGATGGCTATTTCTAGAGATTTTAATTTGGAGTCCCTTTTCAGTCCTGCAGAAGCTAATGAAGATGCATGTTCTTTGAGGTCAATTAAACTAGACTGAAAGAAAAAGAATGCTGGTAAGTGAAACACCACAATTTCTCCTAGCTATGTCTTCAATTTGAATATACTGATTCTATACTTAACAATAAAGTATGCATTAGACAGAAAGGGTAAATATAGTCTTACCAAGGTAACAATAGTCAGCTCTAGCCAGGAAATTAAAGTTGGCCAGCTTACAGAATCAAGCAGGATCTAATTGCAGTAGAATCAAATGTGACCAATCAGTGTGGTGAATGCACTTTTCACATCTCAAAGTCATGCTAATGATAGAAGTAAGGTCTTAACCTATCATGGCAAAACAGATACCCTGAACCTCATTTACATTTACTGCTATCAGACCATGAAGACTCTAAGACCAAAACGAAAGAAGATTCTGACTTTAATAATTCCCCTGAAGGGTAAATCTAAAACTTTTTAAAATCCCATTTTTAAAAATTAGGGGGGTACCAGGAATTGAACCCAGGGGTACTTAACCACTGAGCCAAATCTCCAGCCCTTTTAATTTATTTATTTATTTTTATTTTGAGACAGGGTCTTGTTAAGTTGCTTAGGGCCTTGCTAGGTTGCTGATGCTGGCTTTCAACTAGCAATCTCCCAGTCTCAGCCTCCTAAATCGCTGGGATTAGAGGCATGGGCCACCATACCGGTCCCTATTAAATTTTAATCAAATTCCATTACTTAAACAGATCACTGTTTTTCAAACATCTTCTGAAGAATCAAAAATAAAATATTTTTAATTTTAGAGTAAAGTAGACTTCATGTTACAGTCCTTTGTAATTCAGATTTAACAGATAGAATGAATCTCCCCAATTCAGACATGGGGTTACCTATATACTTCCAGCCATCAACCATGTCCAGAAACCAAGAACTTCATTGTTCAATCTAAATTTCAAAAACTAAAGATATAAATATTTGCATGTATCTATGAACATAACTTTACTACATACAAGGGCAATGTTCACTATTCAAATATGAAATGGGTAGCAACATTTAACTATGGGACTAAAAAATCCAATTTCATCCCAAATTAGGCAGTATGAATTACTTTCTTATCTTTCTGCAGCACCTTGGAGTTACTAAGCACACAGAATCTTTCTGAAAATAATAACAATTTATGCTAGGCTGCTTCATGTGCATTGGAATGACCTTGAGGATGAAGGGCATCATCACCCAGCAACACACTCTTAACCACTCTGTGAGGGTCAGTTAGCCATTCTCATGTTTCAAGTCAGGAAACTAGGGCTCACATTAGCTATGCATCTTGTTGAAGGTCACCCAGCTATTAAAGGAAGACAACAGTCTCAACACAGGTCTACAACTCTGATTTCATATACTTATCATATAACTTCCACTGAAACAACAAAGGACCTTACAATCTAGTTATTTTGTCATAGTAAAGACATACAATCACCCCATCTAAATTATAAGATCCTTGCTAACTGCAAATCTATGCTATTCTTCTTTATAAGTTTTAAAACATGAGTTTTGATGGCCATTTTAGTCAAGTTAGCAAGGCTGTGCTCCTCAGATATTAATCTGGAAGTTGTTGTACAAGGTATTTTGTAGATGTATAAAAAAATAACACTTCTAATCACTGAGGAATGTGACACATGAGGACAAAGCTTCTGTGCCTTCCTCCTTCCACACAAACTATAGTAACTATAGAACCCCAAGCTGGATTAGCAGTAAAATAGTAGGCAGAAGACTTAAATTCTTAATTTTCATTTCAAAGAAATAATCTCTTCTCCAAAACACTGCAGGCATAAATTTTAGGGATTTTGCTTCTGGGTTTCCTCAAAACTCCTCTAACTCATCAAATCTTTTTCTTCTTTACTTGCATTCCCAATTCATACAGGACTTTAGTTTGTATAACATTACCAACATCCAAGGGTGAGGTACTCCTGTGAAGGAGGAAAATATACACCTGTGCAATGGGATCAGTCCAGCAGGGTGAAAGAGCCCAAGCAGTTGGACAGCAGATGCACACTTCTTACAGGCAAAAACACGTATGTATGGGTCAATTGTAGACACAAATCTCAGAGTTGTGGAGATTAGACAAAATAATATGTATGACTACTTCTCATTTATCTCCACTAAAGCATCCTCAAGAAAACTGAAGGGGTTATAGGTATCTGCTGGAGTATGGGGGGAGAACCCAAAGCATCCTCTCCAGAATCCCCAAGCAAGAAATTTCTTTAAAGTAAAACACAGGTGGCATTGACCTTCTATACTCATATTTACTACAGCATGAAAATACTGTTTGAAATTGTTTACTAAAATATAAAAATAAGATTCCAGAAGAGCAACCATCTTTGTGTCCATCATGGTGCTACAACTCCTAAACTATGATACTGGGTTGTCCATTTGAGAAGCACAAATGAATACAAAGCATCCAACACAAGCATTAGCATATAGCAGACCCTCAATAGAGTGGAGTTATCCTTGTCATCCTCATCCATGCTCAATCAAAAGGATCAAGGAACTTTGAAAAACTTGCGGAATATGCTAAACCACACAAAGCTGGTATAACACAAGGAAAAGTCTAAAGGAGCTACACTGCAAAGAGCAGAACAGAGAAGCTATCCAGAGGGCATTGCTGATGAAGGAAGTTACAAGAAATAGTTTCCTCCCGATTCATAGAGCTTTAACAAGAGAAAGGTTACAATGTTCCCTAAGCCTTCCCACAGCCCTTCCACCAAGTTTCTTACAGCTTCAATGAATACAGGTTTATGAGGACATCAATGTGGTTCATGGTTCCTCCAGACTCACCTCTTTTTCTGTGAGTTCAGCTTGTAAAGCATTGACCTTTTCTTTTAGGTCCTTGTTCTCTTTGCGGAAAGATTCTATCTCTTCTAGTCTTTCCCGATCATCTCTCTCCCGTTGTTCTTTCAAACGCTCAATTATTCTCTCCTGTGAAAGGGTCATGAAAAAAGAAGAGGTGAAAATCCATTTAGTGTGTGCCAAAGCAAATCACTAAGGAAAGTAAACGGTTGTTATCTTAAAAATACAGGAATCAACACACACAAGAATCACAAAATTGGGTTTGTGGAAAGAGGTTGTGCATGCTAGCATCTGCAAAACACCATTAATATTGCTTTTGACTTGTGATTACAACTTAGCATTATAGGGTTGTGTGGGGTCTTAACATTCAAACTCTGATGCTATACTTGGATCATGGTGGTATCTGGATAAAGGCTAAAGCAGTTCTAAAAGAGACATATTCTAGCATCAAGATTTGAAACTTACCAAAACCTTCTACAGGCAAAGGGAAGAGGCAGAACCAACCTTTTGGTTTGGGCCTCTTTGATTGGCCTCTCAGTTTGGCATCAATGAACATTCTCTGGTTTCTAAAGACTCTTCTCTGACTAGATAGGGGACTGAATTTAGACCTCCAGGACTTAGGGATAGACTAATTAAAATGAGAATTCAAGACAAAATAAACAATAAGCTCAATATGTATGTGATTTTTCCAATGCTCCTAGAAATGTTTACTTCTGTGTTTTATTTTTCAATAATTTCAATAACTCCTTGGTGATCAGTAGAGATTTCAAAACACTGGTTTAGTCTGAACAATTCAGAGTATTCCTTGACTGGGAGATACTGCATATTGTGATGTGCTCTTCAGTTCTCATCACAACTTTGGAGGCAGAGTCAGTACTATTGGAGATGGTATGGTGGTAAGGAAACCCAGAGCCCAGAGGAACTAGACTCACCCCAGGGTAACTTGCTAACAGAAGATCTCTGATACTTAATCAGGCTTATGAGACCACATAACCACAAATACATGCCCAGAAATATTCAAGGAGCATGAAGGTCTGTCTGATTTTCCATTTCATACTGAAATGAAAATACTACTCTGGTAGATATTTTCTAAAAATGTGGAATCTGACTGATACCAAAGAAAGACTCTTTGGGAAGGGGGATCAGAAACATTCCACCTGGATAAAGATTGAGTGAAATTTCTAAAATAAGTTTCAAAGTATTCAACACTTCTCTAAATTTCCTTTTGGATGGCCATGTTAAAAAAAATATTCGTGTAAAAAACACCCTAAAGATCCTGATATTATCTTTCATATTCTTATAAGTATATAGCACAAGGTGAGGCCAGATACACAAGGTAACTATAAAACAAGGTTTAGTGCAGAAGGAGGTTAGTTTGAAAACAGCATGTGATTTATGATCCCCTGAGGAAGCAGTTGTGCTATCCCAATGATAATTTATACATTTAATGCTTTTGAAGGGGAAAAAAAGTACCACTACTATTTCACAATTATTTAAAAAATGTAACTGAAATATATTATTATAAAAATAGAGGTGGGAATAGAAATAAAAATGAGACTGGTTTGCCTGTATTTATTGCTTCATGATTCCAATTACAGTCCCAAATTACTCTGCCTGTGATAATGCAGAGAGAATGATTATGGGATCTACAACAGAAGGAAATGACCATAGTGCACGGTATATTTCCAAGAAATTCTTAACGGAGCCCTTTCTACCTTTTGCTTCTACTACAACCAGTTACCTGGCTACCAGGCCCTCTCTCATCACTTCCACCACACAGCTGCTGGAGTGATATTTCTAAAGGTCCAAACTGACCATGTCACTTCATTGTTTGGAAATCTTCCAGGAATCCTTCCAGCCAGATCACATGGCATTTATTCCCACTTGGCACCCTTTGCATAGTTTCACTGCATGCCCACCCTCCCCACCCAGCCTTCCAGAGGGCAATCTATGACCTTTACAGGGCCAAACTGTCTGGTATTAAAAAAACACACCTAAAGAGGCAGGTGGAAAGAAAGAGACACAAAGTAGGATCATCTTGACTTCAAAGAAAGGTTCATAAAATTATGTATTTGTGTCAATACCAAGAAAGTGTCAAAGTTTAAAAAAAATCAGCCAGCACTGTTATTGATGATTCAATAGTACAAAATATTTCTCTGTCAATCACAAAACTAATTTAATTGTCAGCCGTGTGGGGCCAGATGTCAAAAACATGTGTTAAAAGGCCCTAATATGCCAGGATCTAGTTGATTAACAACTGACTTGCAGAAATTCCAATGTGTTCTTGCTTTAGCCTTATTTGCACTGGCAAGTGTTCCTTGAGCACTCATCTGGCACAGCACAGGTCTAATCTATTTGTGCTTTATCACTGAGTGGGAACTGCATTGCAGGGGCCTCTTTCTCTGCTCTCTGGTTTTCTCAACTGCTTATCTTCTAGGTGGTTACAGCAAAGCTTGGCAAGACCAGCCTTATAAATATGGTGAGTTCTGTCTCCGGAGCTTCTGTGTGTCAATCACAGAATTCAGTCATATTCAGTCTTCTTTTTGTGGGGCTGGGGGTTGAAGTAGGCCTTTGCATGCTAGACAAGAGCTCTGCTACTGCAGTACATTCCCAGCCTGAGTCACACTCAGCCTTAACTCAACAACTGAACAAATTCCTGGAGAGTAAAACAAGGAACACAATCCCAGAATGCCATAATCCAAGGGAAATGGTGAAGAGTTTCTGATGGATTCTGTCTACCAGCCAAAAGGCAGCAAATAATTACGTGAACTTATGAATCCATAAGGTTTTACTCACCATTTTATTTTTTAACCCTATGCCTTGTTACAGAGGATCTAGTCAATTAAGTGGGGATAAAAGTGGAATTCGTGAGGAGAAAATAATTTAAATGTACATCGTGAAGTTCTTATAAGCACACCACCACTTGTGAGCTGGGAAGCCTTAGATGGGTGTGCCAAGAGAGGAAACAGTCTCAACCAAGAGCTAACTTAGTTTGAAAGTTGCTTGGGGAGTACTGGGTTGAGAAATCAGCATGTGTCACAATTAATTAATGATAATTTCCCACACCCAGGAATAGGGCATGATGCTCACATGTCTAGAATATTTCTTTCTGGGCAAATCATTTCACGTCACTGAACCTATTTCCCAACTTTAAGATGGAAAAGCTTGAATTTAGCATTTTGCTAGAAGTTGTGGTATTTCAACCACTTGTATCAGAATTTCTGGGTATGCTTAAAAATCACAGGTTCCTACGCTTCAAGGCAGAGTAACTGAATCAAAACCTCTAGGAAATGGGAATAAGGAAACTATAATTAAGAAACTCCTTAGGTGATAAGATTATTTAGATACAAACAAGGTTTGATAATCACTGGAATAACTGAACTTTTATTGTTTGCCCTATTATAGAGAAACTTGCCAGTGCATATCCAATGGTTTTATCTGTGCTTTTCAAATATAGTAGCATTCTGATTTGGGAATCTTTTGGAAATTTCCCCCAATTAATTGCTCTGTATCCACTGTTATCATTCATTTTTGTATGAAAAACTAAACATCGGATGCAAATGGTATTTGGAACTAAACAGCTCATAGATCAAAGCTGGCCCACAAAATAATTTGGTTAACTTGATCATCATAATATTTTTTAAATCTAAATTCAAACGTTTTGAAACAGGTCAGGGATGATCTAGCTTGCCATAGTCACCGATAGTCTCTTCTGCATCCCATTTCTCCCATTTTTGCTCCCTGCCTGATCCTTTTAGTCATCCACATTTTCAACTTCTCATCCAATTCAGATGCCACTGGCCTGAGATTACAGATTAGCAAACTGTCAAGCAAGTTCCAGAAAAGTATGACATTTAGGAGTTTAAGTAATTCAAGGGTGCAGTTTGAAGATGAAATTCCAAGAGGCTCCAAGAGGAAAAGACTTGCCTCAGGTAATATACTAGCAAGCAGTAAGGACAGTCTGGTGCAGGCAGCCTCCCACAGACCTCACTCAGATTTCCTTCCAGAACACCCCTCATCCTCAAAGGAAATATTTAAATAAAAAGACGAGTTTCAGATTTGGGAATTGCTTTAGAACTTAAACTAGAATAAATCAAACCTTAATAGGTTCTGTGCAGGAGGCGGGGGGGGGGGGAGATAAAATCATGCCAAGAATCCACAACATGAAAAATTATTTAGTATATGTTTACTTCTATGAATTTTAAGAAAGAAACCAAGATTTAAGAATAAGCTGACATCATATCACCCCAACATGCATACATAATCTTAATAGTTTTTGAAGCAACATCTCCCCCCACCTGCCACATTCCAATTTTACAAGCAAAATTAGTTCAAAGATCTCTGGAAATAAATTCTTGAATATTGAAAGAATATTTTTTCCTGAAAAGTTATCATATTCAATATTTTTATGTCTTCAAATAAAATATTGTAATTATTATGTTTTAATCCTAAAGTTATAATTTTTAATAGAATCATGAAGAATATCTAGCCACAGTGTTATAGCTCTTTCTTGGCCTAGCAGTGATTCTCACACTACAGTGCACATCACATAGACCAGGAGAGTTTGCTAAAATACAGATTTCCAGGCACCACTCAAGGTTAGATTTGGTAGATATTGATCAGGCCTAACAATTTAGGTTTTCCTAATAACTACCTTCTGTTAATTCAGCTGCAGAGAAATCATCTTTAAGATACATTGGCTCAGGAAAGCAGGGGGCCACTTAATCCAATTTTCCCATTCAACAAATGGGAAGTTTGAGGTTCTGTAAAGAAGAATTATTTGCCAGGGTCTACTAGTTACTTAGTGGCAAATGTGACACTGGCTCCTAGGTTTCCTTCTATCTGACCTCATTACCCCAGAGTTTATATCCTCTCATAACAGGGAACAGTGTAGGCAATGTTATAACTGTGGTAAGACACCCAAAAGAAAGCCTGTGGGCAAGTACTGCAAAGTACTACAGAATTAAAAATGATGAGAGCATCAAGGGGAAAAAAACACAGATGGATCTACTTGCACATTTTAAAAGTTAAGATTTCTACAACTACACAGCCACATCAATATTTATAGCAGCTTAATTCATAATAGCAAAGCTATGGAAACAACCCAGATGCCCATCAACAGATGAACGGATAAAGAAAATATGGTTTATATACATAATGGAATATTACTTAGCCATAAAGAAGAATGACTTTATGACATTTGCCAATAAATGGATGGATCTAGAAACTATCATTCTAAATGAAATGAGCCTATCCCAAAAAACCAAAGGTTGAATGTTCACTCTGACATGTAGATGCCAACCCACAACAAAGGGAAGAGAGAAGAATAGAAGTTCAGTGGATTAGACAAAGGAAAATGAAGGGAAGGGATGGGAGGACAGGATTAGGAAAGATAGTAGTATGAATCAGACATAATTTTCCTGTGTTCACATATGAATACATGACCACTGAAACTCCACATCATGTACAACCACAAGAATGGGATCTGAATTTACAATAAGTTATACTCCACGTATATGTAATATGTTGAAATACACTCTACTGTCATTTATACCTAAAAAGAACAAAAGAAAAGAATATTAACAAAGAAAAAAAGAGATCTCTTTTGTTTCAAGCTGAATTTGAAAATAGTGTGAATAAACATTGGCCTAAAGACTTCCCCAACACTTTGCATGTCTGAGTGCCCCAAAATAAAGCTGTGTCTCAGAATTCCTAAAGAACTTTACCTGAACTATTTTTGGCCACTGGCTCTTGGACACATTGGGAGTGTTGGGGGTGAAGATATAGAACAGAAATTCAACTATAATTGGTGCTCAGAGAATAAATGAACTAATTCGACCAAACTAAAATGGGCTAAAAATCATTTTAAAAGTCAATAAACATCAGAATAACCTATTATTTTTAGAGAAAGAGAGAGAGAGAGAGAGAGATAATTTTTTTAATATTTATTTTTCAGTTATTGGCGGACACAACATCTTTGTTTGTATGTGGTGCTGAGAATTGAACCCGGGCCGCACGCATGCCAGGCGAGCGCGCTACCGCTTGAGCCACATCCCCAGCCCCCAGAATAACCTATTTACTTAATGGATTTCATTTATTTGTTGTTTCATTCTTCATTAATTCATTCATTTTATTCTTTCATTTCTTTATTTTTACTTATTCAAAAATAATCCTTATAAATGTATTCAGAGGAACACCTCAAAGTGGCCTCCCAGCTCCAAAGAGTAAAAGGCAATTTTCAAAATCTTTTCTCATGAGATCCTGGGAGATGAGCTTCTCCCCACCCCTTGTACTTGCTCCTCCCTTCACCTAGTACACCTGCCTCAGAAGGGCTTGTGACTCACCAGTCACTTCCTTCTTCCCTTTCCTTTTAAATGTCACCTTCCTGGCCCCAGCTGGCCACTCCACCACAACAGTCCCTGTACCCATTCCCACTTTATTTTTGTTGATAGACATTATGACCTTCTGAAATCCTACATATATCTGTTACTTGTTTATCGTTTATTTTCCCCTCAACCCCAGTAGAATCTAAAGTCTGTAAGAGTCAAGATTTTGCCCATTCTCATCTCTGTGACATCCCAGTGACCACAATAGCCAATATCCACAGAGCAGCTCCATAAAAATACTGTGCAAGGCCACGAGGATGGCACACTTTCTCTCTCTCTCTCTCTCTCTCTCTCTCTCTCTCTCTCTC